ATCATTTGGCTGTTTAGAGTATAGGAGGGGCTGATGAGACTGGAGTGGCAAGTGGGCCTCGTTTTTTTGTGATCCCCTTGAGCTTGTTAGGGGATGTGAAGGTGTCAGCAATATACACAGAGCTGGGATTTTGCTCTGTGTTTCCCAGATGGGCTTCTGTTGTACAGTCAGAAGGGCACATTCTGGTCTCTATGGAAGCATTGTAGGGAAGGAGATTTGATGCTTTCTCCATGAGTCTAAGCCCTGCAGCCAGGGGAAAGAGAGGAAGTGTTCCAGAAACAGAGGGGGCAGGACAAGGACTGTAAGTATCCACAAGAGTGGTTCTGGGGCCAACAAACTCTAGCAGCAGTTTCCTGTGATATTTCAAGTTAAACCTGACTCTCCTCAGGTGATCTAGGACTATGTACCAGATGAGACAAAATTGTCCATGTAGTACTGAGGTCTCTGAGTCTTCAGGTGTATAAAGTACTGGAATGTGGGTAACACTATATAGAGACGCTCATTCATGCTCTTATTACAGAAACAGGGTACAACGACATGATTAAACATGTATCATTTAACCTTGGATTAAGGTCAGGGGAGCAGTAGGTGCCAGTGGAGAGGGAAGAGACCCAGATGTTCACTGTTACTGGGTGTGGTCTCTTGGACATGACCTAGGCTGTGACCACTGTGTGACACTCATGGTCCCTGAATAAAGGACCATCAAAAGAGCAGGTGCAATTGGAGGTTTCAACTGGTTTCCTGTCTCATTTCCTCTTCCTGTAACTGTTATTTCAAGGAACTGCTCCCGATTCCTGATTCTTTGCTCACCTCGGAAGTGTCTGAGTTGGAAATATTTGTTGCAAATAAAGAACATATTCTGACATGTACAAAAGGCAGAACTTCTTTGAGACACTCTTGTGCCCAATTCCAAGGAATCATCATACCTGTGACCTACATTGACAATCTAATCAGATGCTCTTCTGGATTCAATGGCCAGCCTAACCTCTCACATCTCAGTGTCCAAGCTGGCCAGCAGTGGGACATCTACATGCTGGCCAGCAGGCACCAGAGATGTATGAACCTAATTTCTGAGAACAAATAACCTCAGTTGTGATGGCCATTGACTTGGTATCATGGTCACAACACCAAGCCAAGGTGAAACCACGCATAGGCATAGAAACACACAGATCTTTTTGTTGATTTTCTGCCTGAATGCAAACACATGCAACAAGGGGACATGCAACATTTCTCATGCATATACCTACAACCACTGGGAGATATAAGAATTGTCCTTCAGCAATGCATTTTTATAGTGAATCCTGGTTAACAGCTACCAGTTTCCTTGCTGAGACTTGAACCACTAGCAAATAATACTAGGATAAGATTCTCAAGGGAGTCTCTCATAAAAATCTAGGATGTTCTGAGTTTTCCCAAAAAAGACAAAACATATGAGCACAGTTCTAAATTTAGCCATGTCTCCTAAATGTCGCCCTCTGTCCCACAATCTTGCCTTTTACTCCATGTAATTTGGGACGACTCTCTTCTTCTTCTCCTTCTTCTTCTTCTCCTTCTTCTTCTTCTCCTTCTTCTTCTTCTCCTTCTCCTTCTCCTTCTTCTCCTTCTCCTTCTTCTCCTTCTCCTTCTTCTTGTCCTCCTTCTCCTTCTCTTCTCCTTCTTCTCCTTCTTCTCCTTCTTCTTCTTCTTCTTCTTCTTCTTCTTCTTCTTCTTCTTCTTCTTCTTCTTCTTCTTCTTCTTCTTCTTCTTTCCTTTTCAATTCCATTCGACATTTTACTGGATTGGCCAAAAAAACTGCATTTTTTATGTAAAATAAAAGATACATTACAAAAATTCACCAATAACATTATTGGCTCAGATATTTTGTATATGGTGGCTTTCTAACACATGGTATAACATTGATTGTTCTCTATTTATGTTTCCCTTTGACCGATATTGACTTCAACTGTCTATCCAACTTGGAGCATTGTCCTGTAATAAATCTCCAGCTTGAAAATTTGAAAACCCTTTTTGATGCATTCAAAACCCTTTTTGATGTTGTGAAATAAGCCACAGCATCTTCTCCGTACATGATGCAAATATTATTTGCATTTCAGTTGCAATTTTCACTGTCTTGAAATAATACAGCCTAATATAATGAAAATGTAGCATATTCTCTCACTTTCAGTACTACAATGACTACATAGAAATCACCAATTTTGATAAATTTTTAAAATGCATTCTGATGTGACAGCTGTTACAATGCAACCTAACAAATTTGTTTCACATGAAGTTAAAAACAACTAAATGCTACTGGAGCCATCTTACAGAAAAACAATGCAAAACAAACTTTTTGGACAATTTAATATATTAAGGACTACATTAGTATAGGAGAGCATTTCTGAGAAAAGTCATATAAGACAACTTGAACTTGCTACAGAAAAAGAAAAATCACAATGTAAAGAACAAGAACTCCAGAAATGGTAGCTTCAGGCCTTGCTTAATCTCACCATCCATGTACCATGGAGGACCTCTTTCCAATTCTGCACACTGCTCCACACAGTATGCACACTTTATGCCCAGGTGACACCCATCACATCTGGATGACGTGACAGCATACCAGACTGTTAAGTGCAGACATGAAAATGTATGAAAGAAGATGGGGGTGAAGCCTCTGAAATTTAATTTAAATGAATCAGAGGTGAATATGTTTTTTTGCATTTCTGATTAGAAGTATGTCTCATGTCCACAGGGCCACAGACACTGGTGGTGAAAGTAAGACTGAACTTCCATGGTTGACTATTTTACATAAAGTTAGACCCACCAGCCCCAGGAAGGGGAGGCTGTTTACAGTATTTATATTCTGTAACTAATGAAAAAGAAAAATGATGCTTTTCATATCAATTATCACTTCATTTATTTTCTGTTATATTGTATTGGAGATTGGATCAAGATTTTCCATAATTAATTTTCCATAATTTATGCACATTACCTTCATCTTCACCTAAGCAGATACATTCCCGAGTGAGTTTCTTCTGTGTCCCCAATGTTTGAAGTACAGTCTAGATACAAAAACAAATTGAGGCAGTGAGACTCCTCCATATTAAGCATGAAACTTCATTAAAAGAACATGACTCAGGAGTAATGTCTGCTTCTCTGTAGAGTTCATATTTCTGTCTGCCAATGATACATACAGATGCTGTACATCCTCCAACTCTGGGTTTATAATCTTCAGGGTCAGGTTCTGTTCTTAGTTCATACTCTGATCACTTTTCATGGGGAATGATATCAGATAGTATTTTGTGTCTCCTGACAATGAATGCCATGAACTTTTACTTCTCCCTGTGATTGTGAGGGTTGACTTCTTTTGGTGTGCTCATTACCGGTGAATTTCCAAAGCATCTTTAATTTTAAAAAGCTCTCTTTTTATGACAGTTTACTCTATTTTACTCTCCTAGGTCAGGTACCTATCTTCAGAAGCATTTTGGTCACTGGGTAATGTACAGGATCAAATGAAGGGAGTAATTCTTTTATTTTTCATAGTATTATTTTATTATCTTCACATCAGAACATCCTTTTTATTCCTTTGAGACATACACACACACAGACACACACACAGACACACACACACACACACACAGACACACACACACACACACACACACATTGATGACTTTATTCCTGTACAAATCCAGACCTGGGATTGAACCTGTATCCTTTTGGTTATCAGACAATGTTCCAACCAACTGAGCCAAACTGGACAGGGCTAGAGAAGTAGTACTTTGCAGACATACTTCCTTGGACAAGTCACACTCTGGGACCATGCCCTTAATGTTACTATCCAACCACATAACTCCCTATATAGTAGGATAACATGCAATAGGTCTGCTCTGCTCATGAAAAACAGCCAACCATGACCCTGCAGCTCTGGGACAGGAGCTCAACCCATAATTCCCAGGTGTTCCCAATCCCTGTTCAGGACAGAAGAGAGAACACTCACTATGAGGTTCAGGCTCAGCTGGATTTTCTTTGTTGCTATTTTAAGAAGTAATGAATGAAGAATGAGAGACACTGAGTATGTGAGTGGATTTTGGAGAAACAGTGGACATGTGATAATTTCCTGAATCGATGTCTTTGTGTTTGCAGATGTCCAGTGTGAGGTGCAAACTGGTGGAGTCTGGGAGAGGTTTGATGTAGCCTGGAGGGTCTCTGAGACTCTCCTGTATAGCATCTAGATTCCACATCAGTAGCTATAAAATGGACTGGGTCCATCAGGCTCCTGGGAAAGGGCTGGAGTGGGTGGTAAGTACATGGGATGATGGAAGTCAGAACTCCTATGCAGATTCTGTGAAACAGATTTTGGGCTCTTTATGGAGGGGGGACAAGCAGATAATTGGCCTCCAAGGCCTCTGTCATGCAGCATAGGGGCCACAGAGAAACTTTTAAAAGTAGTGCTGAGGTGAGACTCAAAATGAAGAAAATACACAGTGCTCACACGTGCATGGACATATGTGCACCGGCTTAGCCAATAAATTACCTAAAGGGATAGACTCACAGTGAAGAAACTGTGGGACCCATTCCAACATGGCAGCAAGCAGAGTAATGTCCAGAATGGAGAGTTTGAAACTGAGTCCCTGAAAGAGAGTAGCAGTCTGGGGACTCGATGAATAGTTGTCGATCCCCTGTGATTTGCTGCAGTCAGGCAGGTCCTTTCACAGACACAGAGGCTTAATTCCCACCTGCAGCTACACACTGTAAAGATCACCAAGGCCTGGCGCAAATCTCCCTTCTGAATGAATTTCCACAGCTGAAAAAAAAAAAAAAAAAGAAAGAAAAGCTCTTAAACTTTTCTTTTTTTTACCAAACATTATGAGTTAAACTCTTCCTTGGGCCCTGATCCACTGAAACCAACAGAGAGATTAGAGACAGGCACATCAAGGGGTGTTGACATCCCCAGCCAGCCTTGGCATCCAGACAGAGCTTCTGTCTCTGTGACGCAGGAACGTACTGCCCTTTTTACACAGATTGGCCCTTCACATGAAATGGGCCATGGAGGCTATGGAAGTGGTAGCAGTGGTGGTGGTGGCCAGGGAGGATTCCCCAGTGGAGGTGGTGGTGGTGGCAGACAGCAGCGAGCTGGGGACTGGAAGGGCCATAATCCTACATGTGAGAACATGACCTTCTCTTTGAGGAATGAATGCAATTAGTGTAAGGACCTTAAACCAAATGGCCCAGGAGGGGAAACAGGAGGCCCTCATATTGGGGGGTAGCTATGGAGATGATCTTCAAGGTGGCAAAGGAGGTTATGATCAGAGTGGCTGCCGAGGCAGAGGTGGGGACCCTGAGGGCTTCTGAAGGAGCCATGGTAGTAGGGACAGTGGTGGCTTTGACCCTGAGGAAATGGACTCCAGGGGTGACCACAGACAGGATTGCAGGAAGAGATAATGTTAGCCTGTCTGCTGAAATTCTGGAACAGCTTTTCTTCTATACCCAGTGTTACCCTCATTATTTTGTAACCTTTCAACTCCTGATCACCCATGGTATTTTTTTCTGTCGGACTATGTAAGTGTAACCATATCTCTGGTTCCCATTAAAAACTATCATTTTAAAAAATAAGAAGAAAATAGCTGAGTTGCACAGAACCCCTACCACAGAAGATCATATCATGAAGACAGGAAGTCAAAGCAGATCAATCTAATACTCAAGAAATGTCACCTAATGGAAAGATTAAAAAAAAAATGAAAGGAAAGGAGGAATCCCCATAAAGAGTACTAAATGCAATTGAGAAACAGCATACTATCAGATATTGAGTTAAATATAATGTTATTTAAGATGTTTACAGAGCTCAGTGATTGCTACAAGAAATTCTATACAAACTACAAGGAACATACTGGGAACAACATCAGAATGAAAAAGGACATGGGAACTGTCAGTAAGTCCCAGGAAGAAATTAAGACTATAATATCTGAAATGAAGAATGCATTAGAAGGAATAAAAATCAGGCAGGTGAATCAGAAGGTTGAATCAGCAAGCAAAAGGGTGATGTAGGAGAAAAAATGACTCAGAGCAATGAAATGGAAAAAAAAAATGACTAAAGAAGAACAAAGAAGGTTTAAGGGAGCTTAAGCACAACATAGAACATAATAATATTTGTAATATAGGGATATCAGAAGAGAAACAAGAAATAAAAATAGCAGTATGAAAAGTAATTACTAGAATCTTCCCTAGAATGATGAGGAAAAAGATCACACAAGTCCAGCAAGTACAGAAGGAAACAAACAAGATGAACACAGAGGCCCACTCTAAAATACATCATAACTGAAGTGACAAAATTTAAAGAAAAAGAAAAAGAGAGAAATTTAAGGCAGCAAGGGAAAAACAGCTAGTAACATGAAAAGATCTCTGATAAGACTATTAAGTGGTTTCTCAACAGGAACGCTACAAGCCAGAGGGGGATGGCAAGAAATAATCCAAGTAATTAACAGCAAATGCCTGCAACCAAGATTATACTATCAGCAATGCTCTCGTTTAAAACAGAAGGTGAAATAAGGAGCCTCCCAGACAAAAGAAGTTAAGAGAAAACACCTTCACCAAACCAGCATTGCAAGACACGCTAGAAGGTCTGCTTTAAGAAGATGGAGGTAGGGGGAGAGAGAGAGAGACAGAGAGAGAGAGAGAGAGAGAGAGAGAGAGAGAGAGAGAGAGAGAGAGAGAGAGAGATCACTGGTACAAAGGTAAAAAATGGCAGTGAATAAGTACCTATCAAAAATGATCTTAAGGGAGATCCAAGATGTTAGAAGAGTGAACGGAAGTTACATTAACCTCCACTCAGAATTGATCTGGAATTACAACTAAATTGTGGAGAAACCATCTGGAACAAACACTTGAGCAATAGCAAGAGAGAAACCTTATAACCATGGACAAACAGAAGAAACAGCCTCAACACAACGTGACTAGTAGGGAGTTTGGTGGAGATGTGAGAGGGCTGGCTGGATGCCCACAGGTGACCACTTAAGTGTGAGGGAGGCATTTAAGTGATCACTGAGACTTCCTGAGAAGTGTGGGGTCTAAACCCTAAGTTGGAATCCCCAGCCTTGAGTATCAGAGCCTAAAAAGGAGACAGAAAGCATCCAGCTACAAAAGCAGCAGGGGCCCCAACTGGTGTGACTTAGTGGATTAAATGATGGCTTGCAAAGTAAGTGATGTCTGGTTCAACTCCAAGTCAGGGCATATGCCTGGGTTGCAGGCTGGGTCTCTGGTTGGAGACCTGTCAGAAGCAACTACACATTGATGCTTCTCATTCTCTAGTTTTCCCTCCCTTCCCAATTATCTACAAATAAAAATTAATAAATAAATGTGTCAAGGTTTCCCTCTGCCAGAGATGGACATCTGGAAATGCAAAGAGCCATTTTAAACGTCAATGCATACATTTTAATTTGCAGAACTTGGTCTGGGCTCTAGCAAAAGAGAGGGGTGCAGAGTGAATGAAAAATGTCTGAGGAGAGACTAGAGGTTGAGGCTTTGGAGAGAGAACTGAGAGAGTAGTTGCCTGAATCCCAATGCTGAGTCATCCCCCATACAGTGGAAGCTATCTTACTCAGGCAGACCACTATCCTCCAAGTAGCAGCACCCTGAGGAGAAGCAATACTCCTGTCCCCAAGATGGAATCTGCCCCACCAGTAGTGCTTAAGCCTGTCTGGTCATTGCATATTGACTAGATTAATATTTAAATTGTCAACCACAGATAGTAGTTCCCTGGAAGTCTCGAGCAGTCTGCCTAAAATCAGACAGGCTCAACATCTAACATGACCAGATGTGGATCCAGAAAGAATAAAGAGTGCATCTGCACAACAACGTGCAAGATGTGGTGGGCAGAGTGGCCTTCAGTCAACCAGCTGGAAGGAAGTACCTACCAAATAATGACCCAACAATGGTCAAAACCCAATTACATCCAGAGAGCCAAAATAAAAGGCATAAAGGACATTCCAACAGCATCAAGTTGAGAAAATCAAGAAGACTCCACAACTGAATCACACAGGTCTCCTGCCATAAATATTCACACCACAAAGACAGGGACTCAAAGCAGATTAATTTAAGAAGCAGGAGTAAAAAAATAAGAGCCTTCCCTAAAATGGGGATAAAAAGAAACAACCCCAAATGGAAAGTAAAAGAGGAATCCCCAGAAAGATTTCTAACTGAAATAGAATTAAGTGAAATATTGGCCATTGAGTTCAAATCAATGGTTATAAGAAAGCTTAATGAGCTTAGTCAGCATTACAGAAAACTACAGGGAAGCTACAAGGAATTTACTGTGAATTACATCAGCATTAAAATGACATAGAAACTATTAATACAAGTCAATAAGAAATGAAGACTATAATTTCTGAATTGAAGAACACAGTAGAAGAAATAAAAAGCAGGTTAGATGTAGCAGAGGTTCCAATCTGCGAGCTGGAAGACAAGGTGAGAAAACATCCCAGAAAGAGGAAGAAAAGGAAAGAAAATCTCAAAAAGAATGAAGGGGTATTAAGGGAAAACATGAAAAGGAAACACAGTGAGTGATAGGTCCCTGGATGAGCACAGAGGACAGGATGCTGTCTGCCGCATGGTGTCTCACTGCCTTGCCTCCTCTTCAGCACAGGGCTGTTCTGAAGGCTTTTTGCCATGAAACTCCTGGTCCTGATTGTAAGCATTCCTTGGAAGAGCATAGATGTAGCCATAAGCTGAGTTCTTCTCACTGCTCCTCCAGCACAGACTTGCTCCTCTCCTGCAGAGCCCTGAGTGTCCATAGGGGTCAAGACCATGGGAGTAAATTAAATCTCACCCAGTCCTACACTCACTGGGCTGAAAATCTGGACACTGGGCCTGAGGCAGTGACTCCTGTGCCCACCATGGACACTCTGCGGCCCTCTCTCCACTGCTGTCCATCCCTGCCTGTGTGTGTTCCAGGCATGGATGTCCTCAGGAATGAAAAAGCTCATTTTCCTCTATAAGTGGCTTGACTTCTTTTTCTCTTTTGGTCCAGGATTATTTGGATACTTTACCAAACACTGACTTTAGCAGCAGACGTCTTGACACTTCAAGTTGAACCTAACTCAACCCAGGTGATGTAGGCTTATGTCACATGTGATGCATAAGCTTCTCCATTGGTCTGTGGACACTGAGTTTACAGATATATACAGCACTGGATTGTGGGTAACTCTAGATAAAGAAATCTGTTCATGACCTCATTACAAAAATATATCTTACAACTTCACTAGCAATGTCCCACTCTGCCCTGGATTTGGGTCAAGGGAGGAGTTGGGACCAGTTGAGAGGGAACAGGTCCAGAGGCTCACTGTTACCAAATGTGACCATTGAGCATGACAAAAGTTGTGCCCATTGGGGGAGGGGTGCACACTGTCTCTGAACACAAGGGCCATCAAAAAAGCAGGTGAAGTAGGAGGTTTAGGTTGGTTCCCTGTCTGATTTACTTTTTCTGTAACTGTTTCCTTCCTGGAAACTCTCTGGATTCCTGATTCTTGTTTACCTCTGATGTCTGAGTTAGACAAGTCTGTTGTAAAGGAAGGATATATTATCACATGGACAAAAAACAGATACTCTTTCAGACACTCTTGTGCCTGATTCTAATGAATCATTGAACCTCTGACCCATTTCAACTGAACACAACCAGAGGCTCTCTTGGAACCAACAGGAGTCCAAGCCCCACAAAGCTCGGTGTCCAAGCTGGCCAGCACCAGGACGCATGAAAGCTGGACAGCAGGGACCAGAGGTATGTGAACCCCAACCCTGAGGATAAATATTCTCCTTGATGATGGTCATTGACTTGACATCATGTGCACAATACCAAGTGTAGGTGACACCACACAGGGGGAGAGGGACCCATTCAGCTTGGTGAGGATTTCCAGGCTGGTCACAAACACACACCCCGAAAGGAACATGGTGTGATTATAATGCACAGAGTTGAAATCTCCGGGAGGAATAAGAAAGGCCCTTCAGCAAGTCAGATTATAATAGTAAATCCTGGTTAGCAGTTCCCATTTTTTTTTTTTTTTTTTTTTTTTTTTACTGAGTTATGAACCTCCAGCTAATACAAGGTTGAAGTTCTCAATGGAAATCTTTAATCAATCTACAGGATGTTCACACTTTTTACACTAATAATGGAATGTGTTAGCACATATCTGGAATTCAGCCATGTATCCTGCCTGTTGTCCTCCACCTCACCCCATTGAATTAGCCACCCTGGAATTTAGGTAATTTTTTTTTTTCTTTCCAATTCCTGTTAACATTCTATATAGTATTTTCAATGAGATTCTAGCCTAGAGCAGATTGGTCAGACAGTTATGCAATTTGTGATGTGGTGGCCCAATATATCTAGTACCCACCAGGCACCACATATAGTTACTAAAATAGATTGACTTTATTGATGGTGCTGTATGTTATATCCTGGTGTTCAATCTCTAACTGCCAGTTTACATTTCTTAAGCCATTTACATTTTTCACCCAGGCCCCTCCAAGCTGGAAGCTACCAACATGTTTTCCCGTTCTATGGGCCTACTTTTAATTCTGCTTGTTTCTTTATTGGTTCTTCTGATTCCACATATAAGTGAGATCATATGTTACTTGTGTTTCTCTGTGTTACTTATTATACTCAGCATAATTCACTCTAGATTTATTAGTTTTGCCCCAACTGTTTTATTTTTATTTTTATGGCTGAGTAAAGAAGAGGGACTAATTTTCAATTCAGTGGGTTGGCCAAATGGTCCACTTAGTGTGGATTTTTTTCTCATTAAATTAAATACAGATTTTTTGTAAAGTACAATTCAATAACTTTATTGATTTGTATTTTTTTATTATTTTTGCTACTTCCTATATGCTGTAACTTTAATTGTTCTCAAATAATGTATTGATTTAATTACTATCAACTTCAACTGGTCTACAAGACTGTGAAGATAATTTCAAAGAGAAACCTCAACCACAAAACTAAAATGACTTTTCAGATGTTTCATCAGTCACAGAACGTTTTCCATGCCTGCAAAAATGTATCCATTTCCATTGTATATTTATCTTTCTTGAAATAATAAATTATGATATGCTGAAAATGGGTATTTTATTCAATCTTCAAAATAAAAATGGCTACACAAAATCCACCAATTTTGATAAAATTTTAAAATACACACTGATATGAGAGTTTAACAAAAGTATTTCAAAAGGAGTTAAAGAAAACTGACAGCTACTCAAGCCATTGTATTCGTAGACCAAATGAACTTTCTGGCCAAAGCAATATGTTAATAACTAGATGATTATTTGAGGCTAATACTAAGGAATGTAACATAAAACAACTTGATATTACTACGTAACAATGAAAATTACAATATAAATAACAATAACCTTAAACATTCGGCTCCATCTTTGTTTAACCCCACTGTCTATGTCCATTGGAAGATTTCATCCCAGTTCTTCACACTGATCAATGGAGCATGGGGTTTCATGACCAGGTGACACCCATCTAATGTGGATGATATGACAAGATCCCCAAGAGTCATGTACAGACACACAATGAATGAAACAAAAAGGAGACAAAAGTTCTGAAGTTAATTTGTGATGATCCAGGAGTAAACCTGTGTCTTGCATTACTGATTGGAACTACATCACAAGTCAACTGCACCACAAAACCTTATGATGAAAACAAGGCTGAACTGCCATGGCTGAACAGTTTTATGAAAGTTAGATACACAAGCTTCAGTAAGGGGAGGTTATTTAAGTGATGTATTCATTCTGTAATCAATGCATTAAGATAAATATTGCTCTTCATGTCAATTATAATTTCATTTATGTTCTCTTTTTTAGTTATTGACATCAAGGTTTTCCACATGAAATATCTATAATTTTAACATATTTAATTGACGATCCTATCTACATCTTGAAATAGATCTACTTATGACTGAGGTCCTTCTGTACACCAAGTGTTTACATTTGGTTATACCACAAATTCTAGAGAATACAAACAAACAATAAAGAGATGCAGTGAGCTGCCTCATATTCAGGACCAAACTCCACTGAAGGAACATGACCTGGGAGCACTGTCAACTGCTCTGTAGGGATCATGCTTATGTCTCCCCATGAATGACACAGATGCTCCACCTCCTCTAACACTGGGTCCATGTGCTCTAGGGTCACACTTTGCTCCTAGTTTACACCCTGATTACTTTGTATTGGAAATTTGGTCTGATGGAACTTCCTGTCTCCTGAACACAAACCTTCATGGTCTTTTAATTTTTCCTCTGCTCCTGAAGATTTATTTATATTATTTTGTTCATTACTGGTTACTTTCAATGGCATCTATCATTTTAAATACCTCTCTGTTTATGAGAGTAACTTCCCAGATTCACGTGCCCATTTACTGGAGCAGTTGTGTTATTGGGGAAGGCACAGGACCAAATGTAGGGAGCAATTCTTTTGTTTTTATTATATTTTTTATCCTAACATGGGGACCTACCTTTCATTGCTTTCAGAGAGAATAAGGGATTGAGATAGAGATAATAAGGAGAGAAAAATGTTGATAGTTTGCTTCCTCTTCATGCCGAAACTGGGAATCATAGGTGCAGGACTTTAGACTGAGCATGCAAACTTTCAGGTACAAATCAAATATCCAACCAAGTTAGCCAAAATGGCAAGGGTTTAAAGTAATTATCACTGTACCTTTAGTTTAGTTTCTAACTTATGTGAGCTCTTGACAACTCACACTCTGGGACCATACTCTTCAGGCCAGCTTCCAAACTGAGAACATCCTATATAGTAGGAGTACATGCAAATAGGGCCCCTGTGCTCATAAAAAGTAGTCCAGCCCTGAATCTGCAGCTCTGGAACAGGAAGTCAACCAAGAATTTCCAGGTCTTCCCAGTACCGAGTCAGGAAAGGACAAAGACTACTCACCATGGAGTTTGGCCTCACCTGGGTTTTCCTTATTGCTATTTTAAGAGGTAATTTATGGAGAACAAGAAACATTGAGTATGTGAGTATATATGACTGAGAGAAACAGTGGATGGGTGATAGTTTTCTAACCAAGAAGTCCTTCTCTTTGTGGATGTCCTGTCTGAGGTGTACCTGGTGGAGTCCGGGGGAGGCTTGGTGCAGCCTGGTGGATCTCTGAGACTCTCCTGTGTGGCCTCTGGATTCCCCTTCAGTAGCAACTGGATGAACTGGGTCCGTCAGGAGCCAGGGAAAGGACTGGAGTGGGTTTGTAGAATGAATACTGATGGAAGTATCATATATTATGCGAACTCTGTGAAGGGCTGATTCACCATGTCCAGAGACAATGGTAAGAACACATTGTACTTGCAAATGAACAGCCTGAGAGCTGAGGACACAATTGTATATTACTGCACAACAAACAGGGTGAGAGGAATTCAGCATAGATTCAGACACAAACCTACCTGCAGGAGGAGCTGCAACCAACTGGTGGCACTATGGGTCTCTGAACACATGTGTCATTTCAGGAGCAGGTGCAGTTGGAGGTTTGGGCTGATTTACTGTGCAGTTTCCTTTTCCTGTTATAGTTCCCCTTAGGGAATCTCTCTGGATTCCTGATTCTGTGCTGACAGCTGAAGTCTTTGAGTCAGAAAAGTCTTTTTTAAGGAAAGAGAACATTCTTTTGTCAACAGAGGCAGAATCTATTTCACACACTCTTGTGCCCAATTCCAAATAATCATCAACCTTCTAACCCACAACAACAGCATAAAACAAGGGACTCTGCTGGACATAACTGTTCACCTAGCTCCACACAGCTCAATGCCAGCCAGCAACAGGACACATGCCTACAGGACAAAGAACACCAGAGGTATATGAGCTCAATGCTAGAGGAGAAAGACCACTGGTGAAGATGGCCATAGACTTGGCATCATACAGCAACAGGCATAGGTGATATCACACATAGGTGGTAGAAACCACAAGAGCTTTTTTTGGATGTCCAGACTTATGAAAAACACACACCAATGGGTCCTGGAGCATTTATAAATTACTTAGTTGAAATGCCTTGAAGGAAGAGAAAAGGCCTTTCAGCAAGTCAGAAGTACTTTGATAGAGACA